TCCTGGTGGCTATCACTTCAGTTCATCAGTCCAGTTAATGGAGTGTCCTAATGGTCACTCCTCAATATCTTGTTTAGAATAGAGTAAAATAGAATAGGAGTTAAGAGATGTATAAGACCATCAAGTCAAACACCCTGCTTCTTGCACACATCTCTAAATTAGATTACTGCATCATACACTACGTGGGGCTGCCCTTGAAAATCCCAAGGTACAGTTGGTGCAAAATGTGGAGCTAGATTAATCAATGGAACCTGTTGGTCTGAACGGATAAGACTGGTTCTGGCCTGCCTGCATTGACTCCCATTGTGCTTCCAAATTCAAGGTGCTGTTTTTAACCTGTAAAACCCCACGCAGCTTAGGACTGCAATACCAGTTGGAGCACCTCTCCCAGTCAAAATCTACTGGATGCTGTGCTTAACCTCTGGGACCTTCCACTGAGTGCCAACCCCATGGGATGCTTGGAGGGTGGCAATGAGGGGGAGTGCCACTTATGTGATGGCCCTCTATTTTTGGAACAGCCTTTCTGCTATGACTCTCCTGGTGCCAAACCTGCCATCTTTTCAGGACCAGGTCAAGATAGCTCTTCATGTGGAAGCTTTTAAAAAATCGCCTTGGTTATCCAGGGGTCTGAGATTACTCCACTGATTCTTTTCCATTGCAGAGTCTTTTTACTATATTTTTAAAGCTATTGTAAATTCATTTTAACATTGCTGTTTGTATGACATTTGTATTGTGTTTTATTGTATACGTTGTTGAAACTGCCCAGAGAGCTTCACCTATGAGGTGGTATAGTAATGATAGTATTAGTAGTAGGAGGAATAACAATACTAATGTGGTAACCCATCTAGCTGCAGGCCTGCATCTTTACAGCTCATCAAAGGTGACTCCACATGCTAAGTCAATGTATGCAGGCAAGCATAAAGATAAAGATAAGGTGGCATTGCATCCAAATCCTTCCTTCCTTCCTTAAGTCATTTCTCTGTTTCATTTAAGCCAAAATATTGTTTTACCAGCCTTTTTTGAATTCCCATCCAACCCAGTGGCATCTATGCTACATTCTGGAAGTTTGCAGAGCTCTAGCATTTGACTGGTCCAGAACAGAGTCCCTCTGTCAAATCAAAAACATTTAATTTGCTACAGGGAAAAAGCAAGGGGCAGCCCCTTTTACCACAGAGACTTGCAGCCTGGATGGTGCAGGCATTCTCATGGCATACGAACTGCCAGGACTACTGCTCCTTTTTTGACTGAAAGCCCACTTGACGTGAGTGAAGGTGATGTCAGCTGCTCTGTATGCCAGGATCCCCTTACTGGCTCTCTACAAGGTGGCAGCTTGGCGAATCCCTTTGACTTTTGTGAAGCATTATAGACTTGATGTTTATGTCAGGGCAGACAGTGGTTTCAGGAGAGTAGTCCTTTTGTTGATACGTCAGTGATGACACCATCGCACCATGCAAGAATGGGTAAGCTTTCTAGTCCCTCATATGTGTGATGCACAGAGAGCACAAAGAAGAAAGGCTGGTTGTTTACCTAATTGTCATTCTTCAAATGGTAATCTGTGCATTCACACTCCAGTCCTGCTCAGTGTCATATCCAAGCTTAATTTGTTTCTTTCAAGGGTTGTTGTATCCTGGCGAGCTTGTTTGAACTGAGGAAAAGGGTGCAAACTCCTCCCTTTTATGATGGATGCTGGAGTTGGGCACAGTTCCTGCCATAATGCTCGTAGCTCGTAATTAAGCTTCCCAACAACAGACTCCACACATTCCACTCCAAATGTGTGAATGCACAGATGACCATTCAAAGAATGACAGTTGCAGTCAAGCAACATGCCTTTTCCTGAAGTTTTATCAATAAGACACATTTATTAAGGAAAACTGCTGCCAGAAATGCACACCAGTGAAAATAATGTGCAAAACACGTTGTGGTAGTTCACACATAATGACAACGATGATTTGAAAACAGAGGAGTTGTTGTGAATGGGAATGAACAGTGCACACTTTTCTTCCACTTTTACTCTACAATCCAAGATTGATTCTTTCATAGGTTATGAAGCCATGTTGTGTAAACCCAGAGTGCTCGGTCTGGTGAGTGTTAAGCAGACCAGTGGTTAATCCAACCACAAATCATGAGTTAAAATGTTACATATCTCAACAATCCACTGGTTCTGCTTCAGATATCATAATCCACAGCCAACCAAGGACCTGATTGTGGGGTAAAGCAGAAGAAGTGGGCATGCTGCAGGCACTGCACCCTCTCTCTCCCAATTCGGCGTGACAACCCATTGGATTTGAAATAGATGGGTTGTTATGTGTGATTTCTTAATGTTGGGGAAATTGCATTAACAATATATGAGGAGAAATGTGCTTGAAAATGCATGTTCTTAAGACTGCTATGAAAGATCATGCACAGTTCAAGGCTGTATGTTTGTACACATTTTATCAAACACATGCTTTTTGTAAGTGATTTTTGTACAAAATAAAATATTCGTGCACAATGTTTTTCTATAAAGTACATGCTGATGGGAAGCTTTCCTCAGTATATGCATGTTTTATTTGTATACTGGATCTTAAGCTTAGAAAGGTTTGAACATTGACATATAACTACAAGGAGGCATATGCATTGGTTCAGGAGGTGCAAATTTACTATTAAATTATTCCCTATCATTGGTCCTCATTCATCCTCCCATAGTGAGAATTTATGGATCCTATATATGTTTTTATTTCATGAATCTCTTACAGTGCCTTGCAGAAGGTTTACTCACCCCCCCACACACATATTAGCATTTTCACTGAAATCAATGGCACTGTTTATAATAGATATATTAGTGGCAATCCTTTCCCTAGGATTTACTTTCTCTACCATATATATTACATAATATAATAGAAGAAATATGTTTTATTTATGTTATAATAATTCATTCTGGAGACACCAAAATAAATGTACATTGAAAAGAATGTGTTCCTTTTATAGTAATTTAATTTAGATTACTGAGAATACCCTTTTCTGCTAGGGCAGGTAGTATAGATGTTTCAGTTTAATTATGCCTGGTGGTTCTTTTCAAGACTAAATAAAAACAGCTTGTTCTTTTGCATTAGATCACTTCTGTCAGTAAAAAATTCACTTTTTACCCCCACCCCCCCTCTTTATGGAGCAAACCTACTAGGGAAAAATTCTATTTGGACAAATAACCTACTAGCAATAAAATGGAATTAAACAACTCAAGCATTTAATTAGGCAAGGTTGTGAAGTTCTGACTAACAGGAGAAAAAATACCCAATATAACCTAGTTCAGTTCTTCAAAGAGAACAAATCTCTAGTGTTAAAATGAAGTTATCAGCATCACTGTAAACACCAATATTTTCTGGAAAACAATAGAAGGATTGCTCTGAAGTAAGTTGCTGGATTTTCTCACTGGGTGGGATCCAGGATGAAAGTAAGCATTAGTTCCATATCTAGTGACTGCACTGCTTTTCACTGTAAAGTACAAAGCCTGGTCTATAAAGTAAAGTACAGTCCTTGGTCTGTACTGAGCTATAGCATGCAGGATTGATGGTGGTGCGGATCAGAGCCCCTATATCTGCTCAGGACTATAGAATGGGAAAAATATGTAGCTGCTAAGTATGGATTTAAAGTAAATTCTGTTTGGCTATCAGACAATTATGAGTTCTGGACATGAATTTCCTACATTCTTTTTTCAGCTATGAGCCGTTGTACCTCTTCCCTCCCCCCCTCTTGGTTAGGGGAATCTCCTGAAATAATGTGACATGCAGTGAGGTACAACTGCATAGAAGGGAATCAGTGGAAATTCAGGTTAGCTTTCTGTGTACAAGTGTTTTGTACTTGCGCATTACGTTCTCTGAATTCCTCCCATTCTTCCCTGTTTTGCCAATCTACTTAAAATTATAAATTCATACTACTTTCTTTCTCTTCCTTATAGAATCCATATTGATGACAGATGTATTTATATAATTATTATATGCATATATGGATTAGTGTACAATTGCAATTATCATCAACCCCCTAATTTTGAGGCTTACTTATGCAAGGTATGAAGCATGGTGGAAGTGATTTTTGCCACCTTCATATCCTGCATTTTTGCTAAATTGACTTGTTTACCTGTCTAGTGAAGGCTTTTTGGAAATAAAGCGAAGGAGCCCCCCGTATATCTTGTATCCTGGCTTCTCCAGTCTCTTTCCTCATCCACATAACCTTCTGCATTCCTCTTATCTGAGTCTGTATTCCCAATCCTGGAGTGGTAGCCAACACAGTTTTTTTCCATGCTAACTGCAAATAGGGGAGACATATCACAGATCCACATACCCCTTCATGGTTGGAGTGCTTTCTCCAGCCTTGGATCTGGGAATCCCAAGTATCTTTTGACTTTCAAATACTCTCTAAGGACCATGAAATTGCTTCCTTAATGATTTCTGGAGATATAACTGTGTTTGTCTTGTAAAGAAAAACCAAAGGATTGTCCTGTTGCATCTTAAAGATTATATTGTGAGATAAGTATTTTAGTACATGAAAAAGTATGCTACAATAAATACATATTTTTAAAATGCTACAAGATTCTTTTAATCATATTAATGGATAAACCATGGAGTATGCTCAAAGGACTGCAGTACAACTAGTTCTGATATCTCAGTGGGCTTTGGACCTGTGCTTGTCAAACTATTATCTCACATAGCTCACAACAAATCATTTTTGTAAGTGGAACAGTAATGTAGAAGTTTGTAATGCAGGAGTCCTATGTTTTAACTAGGTCTCTTTGGCTGTTGTTGTATGTTGTATAAATTTCATATGATAATGTAATTTCAGTGAATGCATATAGCATATAGGATGCATGCCTGTGTTTGGAAGGGTTATGTGACCATTCATATTACTTTATATACCTGCTGCAAACTTTCTGAATCTAGGCAGTAAGCCTTCTTATTGTTCTGGCAACTGTTATTTTATATATTGATGGAATTGTAACACCTTTAATTTGTAATTACCAATTACAGTGACAAGAACAAAAGAAGAACAAAAACAGTAAAGAAAACATTAGAACCCAAATGGAACCAGACATTCATTTATTCTCCTGTTCATCGGAGAGAATTTAGAGAACGAATGTTAGAAATCACGCTTTGGGACCAAGCACGAGTTCGTGAGGAAGAAAGTGAATTTTTAGGAGAGGTATTAAGTCTTATCCATTCATTGTAAACAATTAAAAATCTTGCTATTTAAAATAAAATAAGACCCGTGTAAAATGCCTAAAATATCGATATGATGATACTAGAAGTCACTAAAATAGCATAATGCCAGCATGATATAGTTTGAGATTCAGTGTACTCTCAGTAGAAAGTAGACAGGAGAATAGTATCACTGAGTAAAATGTAGCACCAAGAGATCCTTCTGCATTGTCTACAGTCATCCCCCAAGTGCCCATGGATGACTTTAAAAGGTGATTAGACAAATTCTTGAAGGATAAAGCTATCAATGGTTATTAGTCATGATGACTATTAACTCAGTGACAATAGGCAGTATGCCAGATTTTGGGGACCATGAGTGGGAAGATACCATTGTGCTCATGTGCATTTGTTGGCTTCCCAGAGAGAGGCAGCTGGTTGGCCACTGTGTGAATAGAGTGTGGATTAGATGGACCTTTAGTCTGAATCTGCATGGATTTACTTATGTTCTGAACCAATGAGGTGGTTAAATTTGCAATAAAGGTTAGAAGTAGACGAGTGCAGCATAGTGGCTGATTTGTATGACATACCAGCATCTTTGGGAAGAACTGCTGCCTGTGCCTTTTGAATATGCAGCCCTGATTGGGGAGCAGTCATCTCATAAGAGTCTGGCCACCATGGTTTAAACAAACTTTACATAAACTTCAGTCTGTAGTGGATTATATGAGTTGTTTAATCCTTAGATAACCCACAGTGGCTGGTTTCCTATGAAACCGCAAGCCTCCAGTCACTCCATTCAGGTTTTGAGTATTCAGAATGTCTCATTTCATGCATTGTTGTTTCCCATAGGGTTAGACAATCCCCAGTGAGCCTGGCATACTATGTAAACTGGCCAGTCTATAATTCATAAAACATTTATAGTGTAACATTTATGTTTTATTCTTGTTTTAGATTCTAATTGAACTAGAGACAGCACTGTTGGATGATGAACCTCACTGGTACAAACTTCAGACACATGATGTCTCCTCATTGCCACTTCCCCACCCTTCGCCATATTTGCCACGCCGACAACTTCATGGGGAGAGTCCTACACGAAGGTTACAAAGTAGGTTATTAATTCTATTAATGGTGTGTTCATTTTTGAGTGAAATTCTTTTATATTGGAAATGCATTCACTGAGAAGATTCCATATGTAGTACTGTCATTTACTTAAGCATTCATTTTATTATTTTGAGTGAAACTTTTAAGTAATTAGGAAATATTAAGAAACCCTGGTATTTCTTCATTCCTTTCCCTCATTGTAGTTATATATATTATGTCCAAATTCTGAAGACTAGAAGGCTTCATATCATAATATGGAAAACTTTGATTATTAATAGGTAATATATCACTAACAGTAATAACAAAGTGTAACTTCTCTAACAGTTGTTTTGCTTTTCTATAAGGTTTTTTTTTCCAAATAATAAGTTAGTTTCTTCACTCACAGCTATTATTCTTCCAGAATCTTTATAGCTGTAATTTTTAGTTTGTAAATATACATATGGTGTTGTTAAATTAATCTTTAGCAATTTAGATATCCAAATATCTCATCTATTTGGAGTGTCACCTCTTGGTTTTAATAGATTCTATCTTGTAGACACTCTCGGAATGTGTTGCAAATCTGATATAAAATACCAATAAAAGTATCTCACCAAATCCAAGCTGAAATCTTTCACAATCCTGGATATTAAAAGCCCCCAAAACAGTAGTTTTGTCCTTGTTCCAGAATATCCAGTATCTCTAAATTTACTTAGTTTATTAGATGGGAGAAATTCTCAATCATAGGGCAAAGATCTGTTTACCTGTTTAACCTTATTCTTCCACTTTAGAAGCCACTCAAGGCCTTGTGGTATGCATCTGTTACATTGATGGAACTGCCAAAAGAAGAGTCTACAGAGTTTAAAATTGCAACGAATTGTACCCTTTGGGTATGCTAGTCCAAAATTTGTTCCATTCTGGAGAGAATGTTCTAGAGATTAGAAGTGAATTTTGACCATCTAACCTATTCTTAAACTCTATATATAAAGGTGACAACTAGTAGTAAGGGCTTCATGGTTAGTGTAGCCTTCATGCATAGCTTCTTTTTTATGTACTTTTAAATAACCCAATTCCACTACTATTCCATTAATTCTTTCTTTTTCCTAATAGCTAGAACTCATGTTCCTTAAATAAGGTAATTAGCAATAAGTAAAAGACAGAGTGTCTCATGATAGAACACACTATTAAATAATATTGAATATCACAAGTTCTTTGATGTCCCTTAGTTTGGATCCTAGTCTATACACTGTAGTAAAATATGGAGGTACAGTGAATTGTATGTCTTCAGACTGCGAAAGTGTGAATGGCAGCTTTGAATGTACCCCAATGTATTTTTTTAAAGCCCTCTCTACAAGATACCAAATGCCCCCCCCCACCACAAAAAACTCCGAACCAAACCAAAACCCCAATAACATGAGGGAAAATGGCCCAATCTGTTCTCTCTGTGCTAGTTGAATATCTTTTTGACACCAGTGTGTTGTCCTCTGTTGTTGCTATGTGCCATCAAGTCATCTTGAATTTATGATATCGCTGTGAATGAAAGTTACCCTCCAAAATGCCCTGTCCATGACAGTCATGCTCAGCTGTTCTAAGTTCAAAGATGTGACTACCTTTATGGAATCAATTCATCTCCTCTGTTCTTTACAGCATTTAACTAGTTTACTATTATATTGGGGCTTATGTTAGCTGCTTAAACAGGTCTTATGATTTAATTTCTATAAGCTATTTAGCTTTTTTGCATTTGTTTTAAATTTACTTATAATTTTTCTATGATAATTTTAATGACATTTTTATTGTTAGCTGTGTTTTATATGTAAACGGCCCAGAGAGTATCACGTATTGGGTGGTATAGAAATAAAATTAATCTATTTATATGGTGCGAGGAGGTCAGCAGAGATGGAGTTTGTGAGACTGATGGGAGGTAGATGAAGGCGGTGGAATTGAGGCTGCTGGGCAAAGAGGATAACTGGAAGTGTCTGAACACCCCAGGGTAGCTGAGGCTCTGGTGCAAGGCCTGGGGCACCGTGAAGGTGAGTGGATGAAGTGCCATCAGGAGTTGTAGGGGCACTCACTGTTACGGTAGAACTTCTGGCACAGCTCTGTGTTGTACTTGGGGTGGTGGCTACAGCTCACTGGTCTCGTGGATGAACTGGCACTTGGCCTCATCATTTTACTTGCTCGACTTGTTGAAGGAGTGGTAGAACTTCAGCTATTGGGTAGTATAGAAATAAAATGAATGATAATAGTAGTTTGTATTTATATGGGGCATTTTAAAACAAAAACAAGGAATAAAAACAAGAATAAAACCAGATTAATATTTAAAATACTGGGAAAATAAAAAGGTCTTTGCCTGGCACTCAAAGGAATAGAGCAATGGTAACAGGCAAACCTCCCTGGGGAGCAAATTCCACAGTTAGGGTGCCACTGCTGAAAAGGCCCTTCTCCAAGTAACTGCCCTCCTGATTTCCTTCAAAGTGGGTTCCCCGAGAAGGGCTTCTGCCTCTGATCTAAAGGGGTGGGCCAGCATGTATATTTGCAATATACCACTCAGTTGCAAATCAGCGTGGTATATTGCATTCTGTAGTTTCAGGACTTCACAATCTATTCCTTCCACATGCTGCTGCACATGTAGACAAGGCCTGTATGGCTTCAGTGAAGAATTATACAAACACATGGTCTCTCAATACTACTCATGGTGCTTAATGGAAGCATTGTGTTCAGAAACAATGATAGAGGGATAGCATGTCATGCACTGGACAGGCTTCATGTGCCACTTATTAGTATCTTATAAACATTTGGCTAATAACTGTTGGAATGCTTGTCTAGATAGATCTTTGGCTGATCTATCATGCTTGCTCCTAATTTTTTATTATGCCTTGCAAATTACACCCATTCCTTCATCTCTATGATTTAACTATTCATGTGTATGCATGATCTGCATGGGAGGGGAATATTAGCTCTCAAGATACTGTTAGACTATGGCCCCCATAATCCTTGGCCATTTGTCATACTGACTGGGACTGATGAGAGTTAGGTTCTAACAAAATCTGGAATGTAACAGCATCCTCACCTGCTCTACACAGAATATTTATTAATACAAAATGTAATATAGACTAAAAGAAAAATATACCTGCATTGCATCTTTTCATGTGTTTGCATATTCTTTCTTATGGACTCACTGTCTTGGACATGTTGTATGGACTTGCTTGATGGAATGGTTTCTGCCCAGACGATATGAGTATAATTTGTATTTTGACTTGTGAATGAGTTATTTGAGGCTGCAATCCTATGCACATTTACCTGAGGTTCAATGGACCTTATTTCTAGAAACCTTGTGTGGAACTGAGCTGTAGTTTAACAAAACTGAACACAATAATATTATGTTAAAGCACATAAGGTACCTGAAAGTTAAAGAATGTCAAATTTAAAATGTTTAGCTGAAAAAAACTAGAAAGAGTATTAAAAATACATCTAGAGCATATGGTATTAATTTTACTTCATATCTTTTCAAAATATATAGTTACATACTCAAGAATGTAGTTCAATTGACATTGGCTTCATTCACATATTCTTGCTTTAGGTTTGCATGACCTTTCACACCCACATGCTTTGATTCGCTTTATATTTAGGCAGACCATGGATTGTCACCTAAATCAGGTGAAACTACTCTTTTGCACAAGGCATAGTTTGTTACAAACCAAAACTGGAAAACATAATTTGAAAGACGACTGAGTTTCAGTCTGGGTATGGGTTTGTTTGTTTTTTGTTTTGGACAGGCCAGTTCTGCCTGATTCTGGTGTCATGGCTAACCAAGAAATGATACAGGAAAGTTGAGGACCAAGAGAAAGAGGAGGGGGAGGAGGAAGAGGAGAGTAAGGATGGAAACTGTGAGCCCAAAGCATGGCTCCATTGGACAAAACATGGAATGGCCATTGCATATAAGCTGAACCTGTATATTAGATGGGTTCAATTTGCAAGATTGGCAAAAACCTCTCCTGACAATCTGATGCTAAAATATTCCCCTTGTTTATGTATGTGTAATTGCAGCAACAGAAGCATGGTGGTATAGTGTACTTCAGCCTTTTCCCAGTTCATTTTAGGTTGTCAGATAGATCTGTGTTCCTAATTCAAGTTTTATGGTGAGCAGGAGTTTGAACTTACATTTTCCATATCCAAGGATTTTCCCCAGCCTGCATAGCCTTAAGCTGATTTTGTATAGAGTTGTACTTAGTTCCTGTTTGATCTGTAAGAAACATTGGGATTTTTATTTACTCAGGGCAACACCTAATACTGCTGTCACTGTGCCAGTAGAACCCTCTGCTGTTGCTATTAGAGTTAGCACTTTGTTTCTGGTTAGGACAGGACAGTTGAGCTCCTTCTGCAAGCTCTGCTCATCTACCCTTTTCTGTAAATGGATGTTTCTTTTCATTTAAGGTGGCTATAATAACTGTTTGCTTCCCTGTACTAGCTGTGGGTCCTGCTGGCATATGTACAAAATAAGACATTGTCCTTAGATTATATGGAAAATAATATGGTCCTTGCAATAATTGTGTTTTGTACCATATTTTGCATATTGTAGCATTTTGGTTTGTATGGATCTTAAAAAATAAACTCTTTGGATGCATTTCTAAATTATCTGGATTACTAAATTACTTATTAGGCAATAGCCTGCAGTAGGACTTACCTCTGAGTAAACATGCATAGGATTGCACTGTACAGAATTATCTAGGTGATTCATAACTGCTCTTCCATATAAACATTGTGATTGCAGTTATCCATGCCTAATTCTCCAGATGGTAAGCATCCCTATGGCATGACAAATTCTAGTGTATTTTTTCTGATATCACTTCATTTTAAAATTTGTTTTCCAGATAAAGGCTTATATTCATATAATTCAGGTAAATTATAAGCATGCTGTGTATTGCTTGCATACATATTCAGAGTTTGTTATATTATTGATGTGCTTCTGCTATTTGTTGTGCACAGTAAATTGGTAATTTGCTCTGTGGATTTGCACTGTTTCTAATTTTAGTTGCTTAGCATTACAAGCATTTTGCCAAACACAGTTATTTTCTTTATTTGTTGTGACTGTATATAATAAGGATGTATATAAGTATATTAGTAAGTACATTGATTGTGAGAATTCTGTTTAAAATATTTTTTATCATTAAAATGCTTCTAATCACCATGCTTAGTAATCAGTAAAAGATAGAGTAAACCTTTTATAAACAGATCCTGCCCCTACATGCTAAAGAGTTTGTGTGTCATCTTCAGGTAATGGTACACTCTTTGCTAGTTACTATTTTCAGTAACTATTTCACTGCTACTTTCAAACCTTAATTCATGGGTACCACTAGCTTATCCACATTAGTTCCATCAGTGTGGATTGCCTCTAGTTGTAGTACTGTTGATAGAAACCCTAGATGCATGACCTTGTTCTGCACATGGAGATACAGCCTCCACTATTAGTTAACCACAGTGGCATTTTAAGCTACGTAGGCCTCTGCAGCAGATGATGGGGGAGCTCACTGGAACCAGAAGCATGACCAAAAGATGAAAGCTAGAAATTGTCTTATGTAATTATTTATCAAGTCCCTTTCTCAAATGTTATCACATTTTTAATTTTTGTCTTGCATAATCTTGTTGTTCTTGAATTCTCCATAGTTTGAGTTGCTGATGTTACTTAAACAATGTTGGAACCTATTTATTAGTTGCATTTATATGCCACCCAACTGCCCAAAGGCTAGGAGGCTTACAATAGAAACTTAGAAACAGAGCAAGTCAGAAGGGGCCTCCTGGGCCATCTAGTCTGACCTGCGGCTCCAGTTGACTCCACTCACGACATGCCCACCATGTGCATGTCTAGCCTATCTTTGAACACCCTCACTGATGGAGCCTCAACCACCTCCTGTGGAAGCCCATTCCATTCCCCTGGGGTCCCAATTGTCAGGAAGTACTTAATGGCATCTATATTGATTAAAACAGCACCAATTAATACAATTTACTGAAACCATATAAAGCCAATAAAACAATTCAGTACAGTCTGAAATACAAAAAATAATATGCAAGAACTGACAGTCCAAAGAAGAACATTCAATTAGACAAGTGGCAATAATATTAAAAAATAGCGTTAAAGAACCAAGTTAGCTACTAAATGCCTGCTTGAATCAAAAGGCCTAAAAGATCAACTATAGTGCTAGATGCACTTCCCTGGGGAGCATGTTTCTTAAGTGGGGCACCACCACAGAAAAGGCCCTCCGTGCCCTTTCCCCCATCACTTCTTTGTGGGGTGGTAAATAAAGAAGGGTCAAGAATCTTAGTGAATGGGTGAGGACGTATGGAAAGAAGTGATCCCTCAGATATCCTGGTCCCAAGCCATTTAGGGCTTTGTATGTTAAAGTCAGCACTTTGAATGGGCCTGGACTGTAGCAGGTAACCAGTGAAGCTGATGGAGGTTAACAGGTTTAACATTTTATTTCTTTTTCAGCTCAGTTTTTCAAGTTACCACCCAAAAGCCAACCTCAATTCTACCTTTAGAAGTAGTAGTGGTCTTTCACACATTTTATGCACAAACTTTCTCTCCATCCAACTTATTAATACAATTTTGAACAAGAACCCAGGTCCCAGAAAATTTTTTCCTGAGACTCCAGTTTACATTAAGTTGGACTTCCATTAAAATCAATTCATTAAGATAAATTCTAACTTTATCCATCAATTTCAGTGGAACTATGCTCAATCAAAGGAACAATCCAATGTGTGTTTAGGGAGAAAAAGGTTCCAGCATACCTTGGCCAGCTGCTGGATCTAACCCACTTGTGCTCAGAGTCAGTCATATTATTTCATTATTTGTTTTCTACAATCTGTGCATTAACTGATACCAAGGTCTTCCAGCAAGTGTTCTCAAGCACAAATTTATTGGGTGATATTCAGTGAAATGCCTTGTGAATGTCAGGGTACATTACACTTTTTTTTTTTTTTGAATCCATGAAAATTACTGCAATGTCAAAGAAGATAACAAAATTGTTTTAACTTTATTTGTTCTTCTTGCCAATATTTCTTTTTCCTTTAGCTACTTGACAAAAGTCTTGCTACAAAGAATTGTAGAACACTATGTTTTTTCTAGTTCTTCAGTTGGTGATTTGATTTATAGCTGTCTTCTTTTTATGCCTTTAAAAGCAAAAATAGGATATTTACTTTTCAGCTTTTTCAGCCTTTCTTTCTGCTCCATGAACATTTAAGTATTTCTTAATCTTATTGTGAATCCTGTAGTGTGCTGTACTCTATAATTTGTCAATAGGTTTACATATCTGTTCAAAAGCAATGCGTTAATTAATTAATTAATTAATTCAGCTTCAAGATGACAATTATCTGAAATTGGTTTGATGTTTTCGTTGCACTTTTCTGGTTCTAAATCCAGGTCATGTTTTGTGATCTTGGTGTCCATTATTTAAATTGTATCATTTTAAAGAACTATTTTAACTTGTTCAAATGATTTTGTATTTTTGTTCCATTTATTTTTTTCTGTAAGCTGCCTTGAGAAGTCTTATGGCAGAAAAATGGGACATTAATATCTGCAGAGCATTTTTATATCTTCATCTTGTATAAGAGTAATAATTAAGTCATTACATCCAGGCATTACATATATACTTTTTGCATTTTTGTACTGTATAATTCTAATTCAGTCTTTCCATACCTTAAGCTCTTTGCTCATCCTGTGTTGGGAATGAATTTTGAGGTTTATTTCATTCTGGAGTGCTAGGTCCGATCATGAAAGGAAAATACTATTGCCTTTTTATACAAACTTTGTTTTTTAATAGTTCTCATGGACAGAACTAATTCTTCCTCTACTCTTGTTCAGTGTGGTTGGCCAGATATCCTCTTCTCACTGAAAGAACATACTTACATTTACTTAATCATAAAAACAAAGAGAACAGGTGGAAGGATCATGCTTTTCCCACCAGCTCTTTCCACCTCTCATTAATAACACTGGCCTTCTCCCCTCAACCATAACATTATGTTTATACTCATGCTGAACAAAATTAAATGCCCTTTTAGCAATGATTTTAATCAGCTACAAAAGCTGGTTTTAAATGTCAGGTTATGAACAAGTAATGGCTAGTGTTAAAGCATTTATCTCCCCAACCAAAAAGTTAAAAAGTTCCTTAGGGACCAATCCAGTGATCCCAGGATGTAACCTGAGGGTCCATAGAATATTTTGGATTTACAGAACCACATTTAGAGATAGAGCTCTGACTTCAGAGCTGGAAATTAGAGTTCTGACTTCCTGTTCTCATACCCTACAGGTGTTACAGAAGGACACACCCTAGGTCCCCTACTAGAAAGCAATCTCAGAGAGGGAGCAAAGGAAGCATTCTGTTAAGAATAGATAGGGCAGGATGTAGGTTACCCTGGGGCCTCCCCGACCTTCTTCTCTCTCCTTCTGAAATGCTATTGCCAGACAGGCAAAATAATGCATCCAGTGAAAATTCATGGCAGGAGGACAGGGATGCAAAGATCACCTCTGCCTCTCTTCCTGTTCTTCATAGGATGACTGTAAGCCTCCAGGTTTGAGGACTGTGTTCATCACTACAGAATTGCACTCCTACAAAGATAAATGCCAGTGACAGTACCAACCCTCAGGTCTATCATCTAAACTTAAAACTCCTGCTGCTCTGAGCCTGTGTCCCAAAAGCCTTGCCCTGATAGCACCATTGGTTATATTTTATTTCACTCTACATTTAACAACAGCACAACTGGCCCTTGCATGAATGGAAGAATGGAGGGACTTACTCTATGTTCTTCATGGCTTTTCCTCTCTGCATTTGTGACCTACCCGCACAACTGTTAGGGGATATGCTTAGCTACTTCTCTTCAGTTATATGAGAGTCAGTGAGGTGTAGTGGTTAAGACAGGGACTGAGGCTCAGTTCTAGTCCCTGTTCAGCCATGGAACTCACTGGGTGATGTTTGGCCAGTCACACACTCTCAACCCAACCTGATTTGTCATTGTGAGAATAAAATTGAGAGGAGGAAAAGAATTATATATGCTACAGGATATTAACTAACTAAATAAACAAAATCTTCACTGACTTACCCAACTGCATCCTAGTGCTTTCATATCTTATTTGCAATCCAAGAGTGTTGGATTGTTTTATCTTGTGCAAATGGTTTATTGTATGGTTGACAAATAAATTATGAGGTTGACTCTAAACCCTTGGAGAACCTCTCTGTACAAAACAGAGAAGGTAAGTATGCCAATATAAAATTAAGCCAGAACTTAATATAATATATATATATTTCATCTGTGACCTACTCTTAAGCTTATTAGTAGAGAAGAATTTGCTTTTGCTGACCATGTTCTTATTTAAGTACTGCATTCAGTCTACTAATACCTAAATAACTGCTATTTCTGTATGTCCACAGCTACAGTTTGGCTTACAAAAGACAAACAAATACCTACAAGATTATTAATGAGTATTAGCAAACCTTAACAAATGTAGCACTCATTTAATACAATAGGTCTCTCTCCCCCCTTCTCTGTTTTTGCAGGATCCAAACGTATAAGTGATAGTGAAGTCTCAGACTATGACTGTGATGATGGAATAGGTGTAATATCAGGTAATCTTAATAAATAAAATGCAGTGAATTCTACTCTACAAATGACTTTAAATGAGGAGTCTTCTTGCTCTCTTCAGAAGTTCCATGACATAACTTTACTGCATGAAGATGTTAGACAAAGTTTATATTAGGACTTTTTATGTATGATATCTGGAAAAACCTCTTACAGTATTTCAAAATATTTTAAATGTTCAGTATTTTATGATTTAGATATCTTATGATACTTATGGAAATAATAAAGTGATGTCCTCACAAGAGTTTGAAATTTAGAAAACTATTAGTTGTAGGAGCACACTTATTAAAAGAAAAACATTCATATTTTTTAATCTAGAGGAACATGAGAAATAGAAAAGTTATATATTAAAGTTATATATTCAAATCCTTTTCATGTTTAATCTAACTTGAATTAGCAAATGCCCTTAAAATACATACATTCATGCACCAGAAAAAATGCAATTGGAAAAAAATACTGTGCCTTCTGATCTTCTAAATGTAGAGCTGCCAAAGCAGTTTGCTGATATCCAGATTGATTAACAGGCCAGAAAGCAAGAACAACTGAAGAAGGTGGCATCTGTACAAGTTAAGTTGAAAGTGGCACAGAAGGAGCAGAATTTAGATGGCAAAAAATTAAACTTTGGAATGAACAGAATGAAACCTTATTTAAACAGCTAGAGCAGAGTTGGAATCCAGGCGCTGTTGCACTTTTGACTCTCATCAACCCTAGTCATCGTGACCAATGGTCAAAGATGAGGAGCATTGTAATCCAAAACTTCCTGTGAGTGAGGGATGAGCTTGCACACAATAGCAGAACTATAGTGTAAGCCAGACAAAAAGGAAGAGGAAGCAAGGAATTGCACCTAGAAGTTCAGAGAGCAAACACTGGGGTGCCCTGTAAAGTTTATTTCAAGGGTAATATGTTTTGCGCCTATATATTATACTAGTACATAATGTCAAATAAGATGGATGAGTGTTTTAACAGTTTAGAATCAGAATACTGCCACTCAAAAATAGATAGCTTCTAAGTGGTGAAAGAAATAGAACTGCACTATGTAGTTTATCCAAGTAAGTAGGTTTAGTAAGGAGAGAGAATTGAAACTCATAAATATCTCCTGAAAGCAACAAGTGGCTGTGCCGCATAAAGAAAAGATCATTGCTTGTATTGTATTCCTTGGTTATACAGAGAGAAATACAAGCCTGTTCTTTTATTATATATGTAAATTGCAACACTCACAGATGCACCAATTAATACATACTTATTTTGTTACTTTGATGATTTATAGCTGGCAGGGACTCCATTTTGTATCAAACAAATTGTAAGGTATAAAAGACAAAAACTACATCATCTCTAATAGGTGTGATTTACTACATCCTGAGTCTTCTCAAGAATGTGTACTAATTTCCTTCTCAACATATATATGTGATCTACTTTTCCACCAGGCCTAGTTGACTAGAAAATATTCTAGTCTGAAAAAGTCTGACTATTTCCTACTTCTATAGCATTCTTGGACACCCTAGATATACAGAAATACTTAAATCGGTGGGTTAAAACAAAATGATATTTTTTAAAAGCAAAAGTACTTGACAAGAACTGTGCATTCATGGCAACTTAATAAAATTTGAGCTTGCAAGGTGGGGATTTGGGGTGGTTACTTCTAAAGACAGTAGAGGATAGTCAGACAATTTATCAAGCATGTAACTGAAAATGTAACTTGTCAAGTATGTAACTTTTGAGGCAAGGAATTTGTATATTATTCATTTGTATATTTGTTTACATACATTCTACTTGCATACCACTAGATAATAGTTGGGATAAAATATTCATGTATAACTTGCAAAGGTGGCGAGGGGATGATAAAATGGAAGTGAGAGAAAGACGACAAATCAACTTGCCAAAGTCCCTGAAAGCTTTTACTAGGTATCCTGGAGTAGGGGAAGTTGGGTAGGTATCCTGGAGGAGGGGGTTGGAGAGGATACTTTGCCAGCTCCAGGATTTAATGCCATGCACCACCTGCTGTGTTAGTATAAAATAGTTGGGTTTAGGCCCTCATTTCTCTAGTGCTATAAAGAGGGGAGCCCCAGGACTGATGGTAGGTGTAGAGACAGGAGAACAATAGTTTTCTTTATCCCTTTTCTAATGTTGAAATCTCTTTCCTGGAATGACTGAATGACTACTATGGAGCTCCTGTTCAAAGACCAGGAATATTTATGTTAGGTGACAGGTATTTTGTTATAGATGTCACTCTTTGTTTTAAGAGGTCGATGCAGGGCATCATGTGTCATTATAAGGCTGTTGTTTGTTTTTTTCTGTACCATCAAGTTGTCACCAACTTATGGCGACCCTATGAATGAATTCCATCCAAAATGTCTCATCCATGATAGCCCTGTCTCATTTTTTCCTCATTTTCGCTTCTAGGGAAATCTCTAGGATCCACTTGCTTGTCTTTCTGTCAGTCCAGGGCTGTCCCCCAGCACCATGTTTCAAATGCACCAATTTTCTTCCTGTCAGCTTTCTTCACAGTCCAGCTTTAACACCCATAACTTTTGAAATTATAAGGCTAAGAGAAGCACAGTACCATAGGCTTCTTGGAATCTTAGTGAGAATCCATATGTGCTGTGCAGGAGCATTCCAAGGCAGTTTACTAGTTGTAGCCAGATTTGCATAATCATGACCCTCATGTGAGTCATATTGTGCAATTTTCCTAATTCGGTTCAAAGTACATGGCTTCCTGTGATTTGTGGTGGTAAAAAGAAGCTACCATGACATCTTTTCCCATTAGTCAGCCAAAGCTGGCCAGTGCCAGTGAATTTGGAAAAGGTAAGAGAGAAAAGGAGAATGTTAAATTTTTTCACTATATCATCCAGATTTACCACTGGTTATTATTCATATGTTTTATCCCTCATAAAGTTTCATTTTAGTTTTTCAAGATTTATTTACAAGTTCTTTGCTAACAACAGTCTTGTCTTTTCCATATATCTGAAGTAGAATTATTATGTGAATGTCTCATACTGGTCTTGACAGTAGGTCAATGTGGCACCAATGTATTGTTGACACATCAATCCGTTTGAATTTATCATTCATCCTGAAGGCTACTTGCTGATATTAATCACTGTAAGCAAGTTGCTTTATACATAAACCAGGAGCTCTTTCCTCCTGATACTGTAGAAGCCATTTCTCATTGCTATCCTTTTTAGGTGGTGCCTTTCCCTTTGAAAGATTTAAATTCTTTTGGAATATTCTCCTGAATTCTGTCAGTAAGAACAAGATATATTGTTGAGTTACGAAGAGATCCTGGAAAAGGAAAAATAAAAGACCATCTGGTTTTTGTCCAGTAGCAAGAAGATATCCATCTACAAAACTACTATATTTCATGTCTTTACCTATATTAGGTAAAGCCCACTTACTTTTCTTTCTACTATAAAATTTTGAAAAGTTATCCATTATCCAGGATCCATTTTGTTCTGTAAAGCGCTGTTAGAACATGATCATACGGGGTCCAACTAAAGGCCTGTAGGAGCCGTCAAGTAGGACATAAGTACAGTAACATCCTCCCATTTCTGTTCGCAAACAACTGGTATATAGAGACTTACCATCTCTTTTTCTTGCTAGTGTTGCTTATTCCTCCCTGTCCCTTGCCACCTTCTTCTTTCCCTACCCCACCCATTCTCTCACAAATACATACACAAATACACAAAACAGTGGTGGGGCAGATAGAATAGAGGCTGAGGTCAAGGTAGGGAAAACTTTTTTCCTTGTGGGGCTGGAGCCTCTAGGGCTGGAAAAAGGTATGCGTATGTTTATGTAGACAGGATGACCAAATTAAACCCGTGTAGGTCTACACAGAAATAATTCCCATTTGATGCCATGCAAGCATGTATAGGGTTGCAAGCTTTAACAGGTATTTTGTTACACTTGTGTGGTCTGATGTATGCAGATTGGCTTTAGAGTTCAGTCCTGTTCTCGTGATAATTTTCTTTGATGAATTACTTGTCTTTTGACTAGCTAGGTCCCCATGACAGCTATTGTTTGACTAGCCACATTCTTTGTTGGAGGTATATTCTGGTAGTGTCCAAAGCAATTAGTTGCATTACTTGAAGACTGAGGACTTCCACCCTTCCTACTTTCTCTATGCGATGCATAATTTTTTGTACCTTAAACATTCTGCCTTTTGAGTTTGAGTATTTTTATATGAGATGTTGATGATAATTCTGTCGAAAAACCTTGACATGCCTGGTGTCAGAGTCATCTGCTATTCAGTCAGACAATAGTCCATCTAGTAGAATATTAAATATTGTTGAGCTTAGTTCCCAAGGGTCTTAAGCAGAGGACTTTGCTAGCCCTACAATATTTATGAATAACTCAAATATTTTCTTATTTTTTCTTATTGGTAAGTAGAGTTCAAAGGAGCTCAGAGAATTAATATAGAGACTGTAAATCACCCCAAGGAAACTAGTCCGAAGCAGGAAGATTATTCTGATATTCTTATGGTCTTTTCATTTTAACTACTAAGCTATGCCTTCTATAAAATTAGCATGGTTGTACATTTCCCACTCTGCATTCACCTGAGGCAGACATCAGACACAGACTTGGATTTGTACATGTTCTCTTGGTTTCTCCTTAATCTTCTGGTATTAGATAGATATTATAAGCATTTTGCTAGTGTTTACTGAAATTCATATATTTAATAGGAATGTATAAAAATGCCTATGAATTTTTCTGTTGACTTCTTACTTAATGATTTTCAAACGATTTGGGAGATCATTATTCAGAAGTATTGCAGAAACTGAAACAGAAATAGGAAAAAGAACTTCATTAGTAATGGAGAGAAGTACTGAAATGGACAAATTTGTACTCTGAACCACATGATTATATACCTGGGTGTTGCATCTTCTCCCACTGCGCAAATATGTGAAAAGCTGAACAGAGCAATCTTGCTGTTGTTAGTTGAGTCTTTAACAACTTCCCCATGGTGGGGAAGGGAGAGGCAGAGCAAGAAGACAAA